CCATGCCACCCACGTTGCTGAGGTCTGATTTTCTGGAATCACACTGACAGAGATCAGAGATACTCTCAATGATGAGATCCTCTCCAGACAGATAGTTGGTAACTTTGCCCTTGAATTGAACGGGTTGCTTTGTTCCAACGGTACCAGAAGCTGGAACTCCCATAACACGGTCCATGGCAGTCACCGAGACCTGCGCAAAATGAACCACCAGCTTTGCTTCCTCCAGCATGCTGCAGTTCTTGATGATCTTGCGGAACGTGGCGTACCAATGCATCCAACGATCCATATGCAAGCCGGGTTCCCCTCCATACATGACACCTGTTGGCGAGCCGCAGTCCCATACGAAGGACGACTTATTGCCGGACTTGTCGCTTGTGGGGTTGTCCCAGTCGAGCGCTTGCTGCCACAGGAGATGTGCGGCATACTTCATCCACTCTGCGGCCGACGCCATGAAGCATTCCTACTGCTCGATGGTGAGGGGGTGGAAATCTTCGAGGGCAGCGCGCATGACCCAGGTAGCCGTGGGAATAACGCGATGAAGGCCGGTGGCTGCGGTGCGGGCTTGAAATGAAGAGAAATTGATCCAGTGCCAAATGACTTCCTGGTCTCTTTCATCTTTGGGATGGGCTGTTGAATGTTCAAGAATCAGTCACAATGTGCTCTCCTCGATTGGGCAGTGTGGGCGGGCATACGTAGTTTGAACTTGAAGAGAGCGTCGGAGAAGTAGGGCAAGGGCTCCCACCAGGTGAGATGGCAAAAGGGCTGGGTTATTGAAGGATATGTTAGCATTCGAGGGTGCTTGTAGACGGGAAGGAAGGACAGGTACAAGGCAGACCTTTGTTCCGAGGCCATCGCGTTCGCGACTCATCCACTCCTTCTTCTCGATCTCGGCACCTGCTTCGTAGAGGTCTACCAATTTCTTGATGAGCTGCTGAAGCCTCGCCTGCGCAGCATGCCAGCTAGGGATATTCTTGGCGATGTCGAAGAAAAGGCACCAGAACTCGCACATCATCTTTGCCGCTGAATTGTCCGGCTGCATACCCGTGGAGGCCGATGGGCGTGTGGTCGCGTTGGATGACTTGTTGTTCTCTGGTATGTTCTTGACCGGCAACAGCTTGTGGATAGCGTCGGCAGCGGCCTGGACAGACACCACGCGAGGATGATTGAGGTGCGCGATGAGATACTCCATGACGAGCTCTTGGTCGTCTGTGAGATTCGCACCACAGATCCAGAGGTTCGGGAGGTAAGGGTCCTCTCCTTCCAACTCAGGGCAAAGCGAAGTCGCACCGCCTGAGGAGTGCCGGTTTGCCTCCATCACGTCGACGATGAAGTGGGGAGGACCAGCCCGAGTGAGTCGGGGACGAAAGGAGAGGTCGCAAAGGTAGGAGTGTGGCAATCAAACGAAAGTTCCTGTGGAGGTCGCTTCGAGTGTTTCCTTCATTCTTTTTGCTGTATGGAGAACTTGAATGAGAAATGAGATTTCCAGTCCAGGCGGGGACGGCAGACAAAGGAAAAGTGAGGAAAAGGTGAAAGGAATCTCCCGTCAAGCTTGGCAGCAGCATGCGGCTGTCACGGGACGGGAACTGCAGTGAAGTCGAATGTGTTCAAGGCTGCCTAGAAGTCGGGAGGGCAGGTACGTACCCATCTGGAAGCCAGGTCCTACTGGCATTACAAGTATATCGCTCCTTCCTTCCTTCCTTCCTTCCTTGAAGGAATAGTCTTCCAACTTGACAGGACCCACCAGGGCCAAAGCAGCCATGTAGACGACCGCCTAGAGAAGAAGGAAGAAATCTCAGACACGACTGTTTGCAGTTGGACTAAATTACTTACCTAGTCTAGAGGTAAGCAGTCCTTGACGGGAGATTATCTTATCGCTTTGTCGTCCTGCTCTTTTTTTTTCCTAGCCACTGTCTCGTCGGTTCCGAATGCTCCCCGTTTTTGGAATCTGAGATCATCATCACTTCGTTCTTTTAGACATCTAGCTTACTTGATCCTCTTGCAGTACAACCTTTCAAGGACAGCACTTCGACATTCGGGTGTCCACTACCCATTTTTAGAGTCCTCGACAAGGTCCGAACATGATGCCCACACCACCCGCCACGCCACGGTCACCCCGCTCATTCGCATCCCCCGTCGAGAGCGCCACGAGCAATGCTTCTACCAAACGCAAACGTCAACTACTACCATCATCACAAGCGTATAGCGAGGCTAAGGACCTGTACAGCTCCGACAGCGCTTCAACTGCACATGGCGCCATAAAACGTGTCAAGATACTGGATGAACCCCCTCTTGTAGAAGAGGGTGAAGTACAAGAAATGGAAAAACAAGAAGGGGCGTCCTTTTACTACACCTCCGACAATTTCCACAAGGAGCCAAACCTCACACCTGGATACCGTTTCAGTGCCACAACCTTGACATGCACCAACACTGAGTCGTGGTTTGGGATTACAGTTCCGCATGAAGAAATAGTTCGGGATCACAACCTTCCCGAAGCCACTAATCTGTGCGTCATGTGTGACAAACCAGCAACGCAGACATGTATGTGGTGTTGGGAAGAATCAGAGATTGGATGGTGCTCAAGCTCCCACGTTAAAGAGTTTTACGATATACATTCGCCCAGGTCACCACTTTGCTGTCAATTTGCAACCAACTACCACCACAGCCAACGCCCGGGGCCGAATTCCCGTCGTCTGGTTTCTTTTCCACTAAATCAAAATGATCCCACCTGCTGCTGGGGTGATCTCAAGCCAAGTTCTGAGGACGCGTCAATTCTGTGGATCAAAAATCCGGGCATAGTCAATCATTGGGAGACCAAGGGAGGCCTGCAGGTCTTTGAAGAACACTACAAAATCATCACCCCGAGAGATGTCCCCGTGAACAAGATGAACAGATTCGTCTTCGTCGCATATTATAGCTTGAAGGGCATGTGTCTCCCAGAGGAGGTCAACCGTTCCTTGGCTTCTCTCACCAAAGGACTCACCAGATTGGTTCATGGCCCAGTGCTTATTGCGGCACTATCGTGGTCTTACGACCGAGTTCCGTATCTCAACCTCGAAGACGTCACTGGTCGTGACATTGTCCTTGCACTAGATTACCTCAAAAGGGATCTTGAGGGGGTGTGCAACCCTGATCCAAGCCGCGTTGATCTGCCTTCGACAGCGGGTATCAAGATCACCGACCTAAACAACCCGTTTTTCGAGCGCTTATACGGGCCTGAACATAATATCGAAAACATGAAGTCGGTCCAAGTCCTCAAGAGCAAGGCGGAGATATATTGCGGCCGAGGCAAGCCTTACGGCTGCACTTTGCCATTTCTTCTGGGTTTGCCCTGGATTATCACGGACGACATTGACAGGTGCTGGAGTATGGAGAAGAAGAAGATTGAAACGCCGACCAACTTTCGCTTCCTGAACTTTCAGTTCGATCCGGAAAACGAGACGCGACGTCTGGAGAATATTCGAGTGTCAAAACACGAAGATTTTCAGGAAGGACCCTGTCGTTACGGAAGCTTCCTTCTTGTGCGCCTTCTGGGAGCCCCGATTCACCCTTATCACGTCATGGCTTTATGCGACTATCTCGATTCATGTCACAAGTCCACCACAACTCCGAGCAAAGAAGAGTTTCTCGCATATTGGGGGTCATGGTGTCAGACGAATGGCAAAGATGGCGATGGCATCCGGTCACCTTACGATACTGGGGACGCATCAACAGCAAATTTGTGGGGCGCCTAGGGTGAACGCCTGATCAAAGAGATCGAAGATGTTGCTCCCGTCATCTTGGAAGACCTTTGGCCGGTCTTTTTTGGAAAGGCATGGATAAGTGATTCATATTGCAGGTTTGATCCAGGCTATGGCGGCGGCGCGTCTCTGAGCGAAGACTTCGGATACATGCTTTTTCGCCAGAAGCCGCCGGTGAGGGCTGATCTTGTTGGAGAATTTCTCCTGCCATATCTTGAGGTCGTATGGTCGTCCAAATCCCCTTCATCAAATTTCTCAACGTCGTGGCCGTCCAGTCCGCTCAAGCGTGCCGAGAGCTCCGATTCGGGAGAGTGGCTCAGATGGAACGATGGATGAGATCCCTTGGCCTTAAGGTTCGTCTGGTATTGTGGAAGATTATCCATGTATGGAGGCAGCTTGGTTCATGGGATAGCATGTTTTGTTGAAACCCATCTTGAGTTTGTTTTCAGCGTATAGTGTATGGGATGGGGGAAAACGTCAGATGAAGTCGCAGTCAATATGTAGGGAATGAACAGTGGCGAGGGAGAAGCGAAGGGTAACATTGACATAGAGAACAAGCGGTGAAAACATCTCTGTTGACAACAAGTCCCAGATGTCGCCGAAGATATGGAACATAATTTGGTTGGGAACCTCTTTCCTAAACATTTCGTTTTGTCAATAATTTGTTTCAAAGTTCTTTGCTTCTTGCCCGGACCTGACCTGACCTACAGCAAGTATCCATGGTGTAGCCGGGCCGGGCCGTGTGGGGTCGTACAAACGACTTAAATGAACTGGGGCGTGTAGAGCTGGGATGTAAGACTGACCCCAAACGGAACGGACATGACCTTAGAGGAGCAATCGTCACAAGAAAGATAGAAGGGTTTATCAAGCTTTATTAGAACTCTAGAGCCATATTTCATCATGGAATTCATCTTACCGGTATTTCACTAGGGTCTTGATCGCGGTATCTCTCAGTGTCTAGTCTGATGGACTTCCTTTGCTGCGCCATCAAGTTGCCGTGATATGGAATGTTTCTATTGATATGGGAGGCACATTTCCGGAGAATGTCCTAGCAATAAGGGCTATTATTCTAAGGTATAGATTTCTCTTCATGTTGTGCAATGCGCTTTGCAAATATTATATCGCTCTGTCCTTGCTTGTCTAACGAACATCTGGACTTGAATTGGAACTTTAGGAGCTCACCTCAAGTAAACCGAGCTAAACCCCACTCTGATTTTCCCATATCAGTATTTGTTTATCTCAATTTTGCCAACAAACCGTTATGGGCAATTGGTCTAGTGGTATGATTTCCGCTTCGCATGCTTCTTTGTCGAGCATCCCTGTGGAAGGTCACCGGTTCAATCCCGGTATTGTCCATGGTTTGTTCTTTTTTGATCTGTTGCATCGTCAAATATCGTCAACTTCTTTTTTTGTAATGAACTTTGGTCGTCTTGTTGTCGTGATGGAGAATGTTGAATCTCAACACCCCGGGTTTGCGTGGTGACGGGGAGATGCATGTCTGTGCAGAGGGTGGGTTGCCGCGGCGGGGTATTCAACTGTCACTGGTATTCGTCTCGAAATTGTTTCCAAAACATCCCATTACTGATTACGATTACTACTACTCTACAACTCACCCCATCAAGCTTCCTATGATCAAATTCACTATGGCAGCTCAGACTGCGTACGCTCTCAAGGCGGGCTCCTCCTTCAACTTGGCCGGATAAGCAACCAACCTCACACCCGCCAGGACAATAGCTCCCGCCGTCTTGACACCATCCGCAAGATCCAACCCCGGCGCCAGAACATTCTTGCAGATGTTGCGAATATCCGCCTTGATTCTCTGCAAACTCGCCGGCCCTTCATTCCTTAGCGCATCAAGAGTCATCGCCGCAACAAGAGGGTGCGACAACAGACTGGCATGACCATAGAACCCGCCGCCAGGCGACAGCCCACAAATCGTTTGCACCTCGACGTTCGTTACGCCCTTCCCGCGCGCGTCCCCGATCCTCGCCGACGCCGACAAGCCAATCTGCGGTTGCACAATCTCATCAAAGATGCTCGACCAAAACGACGTCGTAGGAACGTAGGCATCACCGCCGCCCGCCGCCCTTAGTGTAGCGATCAAGTTCGAGTTATACTCCTGCTGCAGCACCGACGGGGGGCAAGGCAGACCCTCCTTGATATCGTTCGTGAGGTTTCCGGCGTTCAAACAGAGCCCGTTGGCCAGCACGGTCCCGTGGAAATCCGGGCTGACGGAAATAAGCTGGCGCACCTTGGGCGCCGTGGAAGGCCAGTACGTGAACACCCACTGCGTGGCCAGGTTACCCTGAGACCAGCCGATTACGTTCAGCTCGCGGTTCTCGCCGATCAAGGCTTTGACGTAGCTGATGGCGTAGGCGATGAACTCGGCGTTGGATTGCACGTCGTTTAGCATGGCGGCTGGCACGTTGAGCCACACGCAGTCGGCCGCGCCGGCGGCGGTGATGACTTTGAGGAGGTTGCCGCCGAAGGCTTCATAACCGTAGGATCCGGTTCCCGGGACGAAGAGGACTACCTGCTTGTTGGTGGACTCGGTGAAGCCCGGTGGTAGGTAGATGGCGGCGCGGAGGGCGGCTTCGGGGATGGTGTAGGAGGGATCTGCATCAGAGGCACGGGGGTAGTGAACGCCCGGGACATCGGGGTTGTTTAGGTTGCTGACGCTGTCTTGGGGGTCGATAGGGCCGACGAGGGCATCGGTGATAGTGTCAGGGTTGTCAATGTAGCTGATGTCGACACCTTGGCCGGGCCCGATGCTCTGGTGTGCCTGGAGGACGACCTTGTCCCAGAAAGTGCCGGTCGTGGTCGCGCTATCCCAGATGCTGTCCAGTCGGCTTTGGAGCTCAGATATGCTTTTCGGGACTTCGCGAAGAAGTTTGAGGTTTCCGTTAGCCCGGGCATTGTTGTGATGATCAGGTCCGGAAGATGTGGTGGGGAGACCGAGAGTGACTTGGGCGAGCAACGTAACGGTGCTGAGGAGCACCGCGGGCCTGGAGGTGAGGATCATCTTGAAGAAGCTCGACGAGCTTGAAGCGTCCCAAAATCTGCGGAAGTGAAGATGACTTATCGAACACAAATCCGGCAATAGGGCACGGGGACAGCATCGGGACATATTTATACACAAGTGACCCCTGATCCCCTTGGTCCATTGATCTCTAGGGAAACTTGATGTCCATGGAGTCCATGCTAGCGTGCTGTCTTGTGAGGCTAATCCGTCGATGGCATCGATCATCACTTCTCGATTTCCCAGTCCCTTGTTCGATCCCCTGCTTTGCGGCATCTCAGACCCTCGGCCCTGCACCTGTCATTATCTTACGCTTACATGGATAGGGGTGGATGGCAGAATCGAAGCCTTCCATCATAATTCTGTTGGCGCTCAGTTTCCTCGAATGGCTTCTTTTTCACGGCACTCGTTCTGATACTCGCGAGGTAAACTTTGCCGTGCTTGAGCTTAATCAGTATCCATATCGATATCCAAGAGGTGAGTCTGGGTTGGGGCTCCTGTCACACAAGCCCCCCATAACTGCGGAGGTGAGGTGTGACGTCGATCCAAGGCCCCAAAAGCTGTTCCCAAACTCAAACGCCTTTTCAGTCTTGGCGGAGGGATGTGTACACACGCCGCACACAACTATCGATGGAAGAACGAAGTTTCTGGATTTCATTCGCTTGCATCTCTTTCAAATTAAAAGATATAAAAAATCTAATGAGTGATTCGGAATCAGCGCTCTTAAGACTCTTATTTTACTTATTATTTTTAAATTTGAAGAGAGTTGGTCACTTCGTGTTTTTTTCCCTAACGGTCTAAATGCCCAAAAAGCTGTTAAAAACTGTCAAAAGTTGTCATAGTTGTGTGCGGCGTGTGCATACATCCCTCCGCCAAGATTGAAAAGGCGTTTGAGTTCGGGAATGGGGAAGGTTACAGTCACCGAAGCCATGGCGCCAAACCTACACTATCACCAATATTCGAAAAACGAATCGCAACAACCCAAATCCAAATCCGGAAACTAAGGCGCCGAAGTTAAGAGATTTCGGAAACTTCCTCACCGATCGACGTCACAAAGGGTGGGTTTCCCTGTTCCTGCAAATCAAGATCTTGGACCTGGGTTGATTTACTGTACGCTTATCTTTTTCAGGTACATGATCATCATCATTGGTCTTCCACGTTGGAGCGAAGAGGTCCAGACGGGAAGCTGTCAAAGTGCACATTCATCAGCCAAGATTTGCAACGACACCAGCCAGACAGGTCTCCCGAGGCTTCTGGAGAAAGATGTCCTGTACAGTGTAGAACTGTGATGAAGCTGTTCCTCAGCTTGCATTAATAAGCTAACTAGAAAGACTTAAGATGCAAATTTGCTTTACCACCATCCTCTTTCAGACTCTTGCTAGCATATTCGGCTTCAATAGTCTTGCGTACTCGACGTCATGTCATGGTTCATCGAAAGCCGAGAGGAAGGCTGGGTTAAGATCACATGCAAAAGCCGAACGATGTCAATCAAGACAGGAAAGAAGTCGGCATATCGAACAAAACCAATAAACATGAATGATCAGGCAGACAGACAAGCCAACGAGCATGACAGGGAGAGAAAAGAAGAATAGATAAAAGAAAAAAACAGCAGAACGGAAATTTGCAAAAAAAGATGCGGTTTGTGTGGATCGAACACACGACCTTCAGATTTATGAGTGAAGTGGACTTCAGTCTGACGCTCTCCCAACTGAGCTAAACCCGCTTAATTGGTTACGTCTCGCTGATGTTGCACCTAAGAAACAATTCGGAAGCCAGTCCCTGCGAATGGTAACGCAGATTTTTTTCTCCTTCAGCGCTTTTGGTTCTTCTACTTGCGAAGATAACAAAGACGCCCTATGAAATGGTGAGTGCATTATCCTTCGCTTAATTCCTATTTATCCCTTTTTGAAGAAGAGAGAAACTAACTGCGGCCGCCAGGGGGCGGAAGTACTGCAGACTATCGGATGGAATCTCAAAGACAAACCTTTTCATCCTATGCAAGCTCCTGAAGAGACGGCTGAAGAGACAGTACAACGGCTGCCTTGACTGTTCATCCACTACCGTCAATCTAACTTCAACCTCCAGCACCTAAATACAGTCCTGAGAAATTGTTGAAATCAGCATCAAGGGAACATCTTGATCTATACAGATGGAGTCTGGCAGTCTCTGTCCCTGCTGGCAAAACTTTCCATTGTTCATGGCATCAGGTGGGCAGAATGCCAGATATAGCCTTGGATTCTAAAAAAGCGAAAACAACAAAGAAGTTGCCCGGCTGGCGCAATCGGTAGCGCGCAAGACTTCTAATTCTCCGATTCGAGATCAAATTTGCAATCTTGAGGCTGTGGGTTCGAGTCCCACGTTGGGCTTTATGCTACTGCTGTGGATGTGATGATCACCAGGGTCCCCTGGTTGTTTACTTTTTGGCCGGTGCTCGATGTCTGGCTGGGATCATGACTCCACTGTATGGCAATGACTTCAACGGCGACGGGTCAGGACCTTTCGTGATTGACCAACCCGGTGGCTATCGTTCTCGTAGACTCTACAGTCGCGAGAAGTTCTTGAGTTTCAAGGGCTGAAAACAAACCAAGATTGGGGCATTGGCCCAAGTTCAACATGTTACGCACATAGTTCGTCTCTAGTGTCTCTCACAGCTCACCGACATGCCATCCAGACATCCTTACTCAAGAGGTTCCCGTCCACGTTGCTCATCCATGGACGCCGCGTATTGGTCGTCCGTCTCAAGGTCAATCGGCAACGGCCTCGTGATAGGCGTTATTGACATACCCCTCTCCTCCAGCGCCTTCAGCCGGGCAGCGGTAGCCGGCTTCGAGCGGTTGACGCTGTAAATCTTGATGCGATGGCAAGAAGAGGTGACGTGCAGATCCCAGTTCCTACAACAATAGGTGCTTTGGTCAGTACCTATTCTCCAGAAACTCACCATACATGAAAAGATGGACTTCACTCACCAAGCAGACCTAACATAGGTCGGCTGCGTATTCAACGCATTATCCCACGTCCTCACGCAAAACTCCAACCAACCCTCGGGATCAAGCGGCAGATCAATCTCCCATAGTCTCCAAGCATAGTAATACTTGGTCGACATGTTCTCGGTCGGCACTTCATACCAGATCGCGCCTCCGTCCGGACTGACCTCGACACGAATCGGCCAGTGACCGCCGCCCGAGTACGCCCAGCCCTTCAACTTAACCTTTCCGTCGTGCGTGATGACATCCATGTCCTTGGGCGAAATGATGGCGGACGACACAGGCATATCCTGGATCGAAAATCCGTTGCTGTACAGCGCATTCTGCTTGCCAATCTGCGGCGTGTAGTAAAGATACTCCTTCCTCTGGACAGGCGCCTCGCTCGGGTCCCTGATGCCGCGGATCTTGTACAGCCACTTGCAGCTTCGGGCGCCGATGTAGCCAAAGACGACCGCGCGGAGCGGGAAGCCGTGGAGTTTGGGAAGAGGCTTGCCGTTCATCTCCCAGGCCAGCAACACTTCGTTAATCTTGACCTTGCGCCAGGGAACGGACACGACGTAGTTGTACACCTTGCCCTTCTTGAAATAGGTGTCGGCGCCGAAAAGCTCGATGTGCATCGCACCGTCCTTCAGGCCGCCGCAGTACTTTATCACCTTCTTGAGGGAGACGCCGGTCCAGCGGGCGGCGCCGATGGCGCCTTCGGCCCAGGGAGCGTTGATGAGCTCGTCGCCGTCGCCGGGGTATTGGTGGATCTGTTCGAGGCGGCGAGTGCCGGAGCATTGGAGGCTGACGACGTTGCTCTGGCGAGGGAAAAGTTCTTTATTTTGCAGGTCGGCAAGAGTGAGACGCTTGGGGTTGTTCACAAGGCCCTCGATCTCGAGGTAAAACTTGGAAGGATCAATTTCGGGAACGCCGCCGTGGTTGCGAACGAAGAAGTCTTCGTTACGGGTGATCTCAGTCGAAACAAGACGGTCCTGTAGGCGCCACCACGAGACCATTTGTTAGAATCGTCATCTTCTCTAGACGTGCTAACACGAACGCCAGCAGACTCACTCCAGGAGGTTCTCCGTTGTAGGGAAACTGGAGAACATGCACCATGTCCTCGGCCTTTTCCTTGAGCACGTACTGCCAGCTGGTGTCAACGAGATGGCCGAGTCCTGTAGCATAGTGGTACTGTTTGAACCGCTCTCCGGTCAAGATCGGGTTCGTCTTCGGCAATGGGACAAGCTGGAACTCCGGAGGGTCAGGGAAGTCATATTGCTTCAGTATTTCCTCCACTTGCTTCTTCTTCTCGGGGTACATTTCCCATTCAATGTATCCCTTCCAGCCTTCCCGCTCCTCCTTGAAGACCGGGATTTCGCCCTTTGGGCGGAATGGGATGGCGTTTGGCTCGGTTGGTGCCATTTTGGAGTGTACTTTAGGTTGCGTGTTGGCGGACTGGCTTCCAATGGCTACAGAAGGGAGAAAGAGAGAAGGGACAGATTCGATATGAAGAGGGGAAACGATAAAATATGCCCCTCATCATCATCTATACCCCCACGACCATTAATAGTGACGCTGTTGATCGTGTAGTGTGCATTGTGTCTGCGTTGTAACTGGGCATCTGATGGCCAGATCCAAATAAGCTTTTGGTCAGAAATTGCTCGACAAATATCCCGATCCGTGGGAGATAAGCGATCGTCTTGTCGGAATGCGAACCGAGAAGAGACTGGCCGGCTACAAAGCTTGTTTATTGTTCAGAGTGCTGGTGCGCATCGTGAGACCGTTATGCCGAGCAACAGGGCAACGGCTGCATCGTGGCTTGGTTGCATGCATGATCAAGTTGGAGGGAGTGGTGGAGGATTTACCCCGGATCCAATGGGACATCGAAGTGGTGATATCATGATGTCGTAGACAGAGGATGACCCGCATCCAGAGGGACCTAGAAGTAAATACAACTCCAGAGCGAACTACCTCTTTCGATCCAGGTGTCCAAAGCACGACAGTCGAGACAAGAAACAGACGATTGACCATGTGTTTACCGACTTCGGAGAGATGAGCCTCTGCTGAAATAGTTATCCCACAAGACCTTGGCCAGTCAATGCCGATGACCGCCGTAAATGTCAGCAGAAAGGTGAAGTAATTGATTTTGTATATTGCATGATTCCCCTACCATCTATAAATGAGCCCACCCGTTGTGTACAATGACCTGCATCTCATTGATGAGGCAGAAAGGCCCAGGTTCTTCGCGGCCATCCCCTTTCTCCGCCCACTTGCGGACGCGCCAGCGAACTTGCAACTCCTTGAGAAGCGGGGTGGTGGTCCATCTAGCGACTCTGTTCTTCCACAATCCCGCAAAGACTTGCGACAGAGAAAGCCAGCCTCCAGGCGGATGTACCGCCTCGTACGCTTTCCTGGAATATCCGACGCGCACGTTGGGGTTGAGGAAGACACCCCTGTTACGCGATGCCGGATTGTCCGCATGGATGAGACAGCACTCTGAGCCCTCAAGGTGATATTCGGCCAGAGAGTCGTCAATCCCCCGAAACTTGAGCCCCTGGGCTCCAGTGAAGACAGAAGGATGCATTGCTACGATCCCGTTCCAGCAGCTGGACACTGGAACGGGAGCGCCACGGAGCATTGCTTTCCTCGAGTTGGAAGAGCGAAAGTATGGCCAGGTCTGGGTCGCATATTCATGACCACCTGAATCTCGCAGGGCGAACGTGTCGTAGAAGCGAGGCGGCTTGCTGAAGTCAAGCGAACATGCCGCGGCGTACTGGCCATCATTTGTGTTTAGCAGAGCAACGATATCAGGAACCTGCGAACAAGCGAACGAACGTCAGCGAATGGGTCCAAAGACAGGCGCAACTAAATGATGACCAAAAACCGACCGAAAACACCACGTCGCCCAGGAACAAGACATAGTCGAATGCAGTCCCGTTCTCTGCCATGTCCAACAATGGCTGGAGGGAAAGGTTGCGCATGGCAGCCAAGTATGGTATTCTTCGCAACCGCTTCTCACCACTGGGACTGGTAATCCACCCATGTTCGGCCGGTGGTGCGTCTATCGCGTCTTGGTGCGTTTCCTTGTCGAGGATGATCTTCCTTTGAGCCCCAAGCTTGCCCAGCTCGCGGTCCAGCTCCCTGAGGGCGCCCTTCGAGTCATCCCAACTACCGCTTTCGTAGACACTGACAAAGACGTTCTCTGGTCCCAGAGCCTTGGCCAAATCCACCACCCCCTTATTCCAGTCGGAGCGCAAGATGGCGGCGTTGTTCCAGTGCAAGCTGGCAATGTACACTCGGGTTGGTTTAAGAAGCGTCGTAGCCTGGGCCTGGGAGTTTCTCTCCGCGTGGGCAACTCGGTAGTAGATGAGCTGAGCCTCGACAATGGCCCAGATGATGAAGGCGGCGAGCAGTTTCCGGATGGTAGACCGCGACACGAGCTGGCGTTGGAGCCGCGATCGAGACAAGGTCACCGGCATGGTGCCGTTCGTTTCATTCGAGCGCGGACAGTGGTGGGTATGAACTTGGGGTCGGTGGACGGTGGCCGAGAGCCATTGCAGAATCTGAAAGTTCAAGTTCGAAGTTGTCGTGCCTTGTCGCGCAGATGGAGAAGACAGTCGCTTTGCAGTCCGGTGGTTCTTACCGCGCAATGGGAGCTTTCATCTCTTTTGCCGACGGACACTTCATGCCACAGCAGGCCAAGCTTCCCTTGCGCCTGCCCGTTATTTCGCGGCACCATCAACAGCGAGACAACAGCGGTGTCAGGGGCGACCTGGCGTGCAGCATTGGTCTGTCGTGGTGGCCTAGCTGCCGAGCTGCCCAGGGTGCGATGTGGGGGCGGCTCCGACTGCTCTTGTGCCGGTCGTGGCACTCTCGGTCCTTCCTTAACACTGACACCAACTTTAACAACCCCAGATTGGACAATTGCCTTCCAAATCAATATGAAATAGTCATGGAAAAACAGCCAACGCGGATGGAGATCTCATAGCAGAGTCCCAAAATGCTAACATTTTATGAGATCGCCTGCGGGCTTCGATGGATGACCGGCAGTGCCATAACATTGGTGCTTTCGTGTTATTCTCCGCATTCTTGGCAACATTCGCAGGGGCTGGCTCGGGCCGGCCCGGTACCAGCTGGTGATAGTTCATTGCATTGTGATTGTACGCCTCCGACTTCCAACCTCACTTCACAAAGTCTCTCCGTTCAACATGAACATCAAGGCTGGAAGACTTGTCCAACGGCACCCACCATGACTGATACCGACCTATGCAATGAGGCCGACTGACTACCCTCTAATTCTTAACAAACAGCCAGTTGTGGAAATTGGAAAAGGCGAGCTTCCGTGCTTACGGTACAAGTATGCAGTTGGCCCGTGACTCCTGCGAGAGGCCCCTTTTCAC